TCCAGCGAGAAATGAGGCATTGATGCCGAATCGATATAAATATGATGATTTGACATCAATTCGATGTTTAATTAATCATTTCTTGGATAATTAATAATTTATTCACAAAGAATAAAATAGACTGTATGTTTCTTAAAATTATATATACAAAATGATGTATATTAATTATATTAAAATTATATATACAAATATATTATCCGAAAATAAACTAAAATTAAAAATTCTATATTTGAATGCTCAAAAAATAATTCGTACAGACGAGAAATTTAGATTCTAAAATCAAGAATGCATGCTAAGCTCGTTTGTTTATATTAGAACTGTATGTATTTATTGTATAAAATTGCTTAATGTTTATTTTCTTCAAATAAGGCTTTTTCCTTATAACAATACTTTTTGCTCACTGTATACGTATATAATTGTCTCCTATCTATTAGACAACTATTAAGTCTAACAAGTAGAAACAAAAATATTTTATTTATTGTTATAATATAATAAATTTTTGTTTACAGTAAAAATAAAATAATGTGAAAATTTACAGATTTAAAAATGGAAGATATCAAAAGTAACTCTGATACTATAGAAACAACAAATAATGTTTCGGACACTGCATCTACAATGCAAGACGAATCTACAGAAAGGAAAATACCATGTATTATTGTACTTGGGATGGCTGGTGCTGGAAAAACATCATTTGTTTCTAGACTTGTTTCTCGATTGTATAATAAAGGAAAGCCATATGTCGTTAATTTAGATCCTGCATGTAGAGAAGTTTCATATCCTGCTAATATAGGTACAAATAAGCTCACATTTAGTATGAGTAATATTAATTTATTCTCTCTTCAATCCAATTGTATAGTCCATAATCGAGCGTAGTGACTTCTCTCATATGACCGTGCGCACGTTGGTTGTACACAATCATAAGAGATCAACGTCGATTCCGATGATTTTTGTTTAGAGAAGTGTATTTGGCAAGGATACTCGGTCATTGCCTGCTAAGAGGAACTACGAGTATACAAATATTTTTCGATTCTGCCTGGGATCGAACCCGGGATTTCTGGCATAGCAGTCTTGTACGGTGCCTGCTAGGCCACGCTCGCGCTCATTTAATTTATGATACTAAATATATTAAGGTGCCGTCAGAGGCCATCATTGCGCAGATATTATGAGGAGTAAAAAAGCTGACATCAATAACTGTCGTTAAGAGTTACAGAATCGGCTTTAAATATAAATTTATATATAATTATGATTAACATCATTATGGTTATTATTATTATTGCATTATTATTTGTTTTAAACAGAGCTATGTTTTTTTCAGATGTAAGGGACACTGTAAATTACAAAGAAGTGATGAAACAATATAACTTGGGCCCAAATGGTGGTATAGTGACAAGTTTAAATCTTTTTACCACAAAGTTTCATCAGGTTATCGAACTTATTAACAAAGCTAATAAAGAACACAATTATGTGATTTTTGACACACCAGGACAAATTGAGGTGTTTACATGGTCAGCTAGTGGCTCGATTATAACAGAAGCATTAGCATCTGAATTTCCAACTATTATTGTATATGTGATAGACACTGTGAGAAGCGTTAATCCTGTTACGTTCATGTCCAATATGTTATACGCTTGTTCTATACTTTATAAAACTAAGTTACCTTTTATTGTAGTTATGAATAAGGTAATTAGATCTTTTCCTCACTATTTAATGCAAGTATGTTTCAACGGTTTAGATATCACTTCAATAATGCATTACTAATATATTTTAGATTGATATTGTTGAACATAGTTATGCAATTGACTGGATGCATGATTTCGAAGCCTTCCAAGAAGCACTCGACAAGGAAAGTGGTTACATTAACAATCTTACACGGAGCATGGCACTTGCACTAGATGAATTTTATAGTCATTTGCAATGTTGTGGCGTTTCTGCGAAAACGGGTGCCGGAATTGATGAATTTATGGAGTTGGTTGAAGCTGCCGTAAAGGAATATGAAACGTAAGAACTGTCATTTTAAAAATATGCAAATTGCTACATAGTAATGGTACAGCACATAATTATTTATACGTGTTACATACACGCACGCGTGCGCGCGCCAACGCGCTTGTTGAAGTGAGTAGGATCTATAATAAGAGTATGTTGGAGCATATTGGAGCATGCGATGCGAACAAACCTTATGCCTCAGTTTTTATAAGATTATTATTGAAAAATTAAATGTTATGAACAAACCTATAAGATGACAGGAACTTAGGAGCCATCAACCATCAACAACACATGCAAAGATTGCTCTTATATGGAGCAACGCGCCTACATAAATTATACTTATTATTTGTGATATTTAAATTGTTTTATTTTTAAAGGAGCTACAAAAAAGATTGGGAAAAATTTAAAATGGAGAGAGAAGCTCAACGAAAAAAGGCAAAAAAGGAACAATTAGAAAAGGCTAGTAAAAAGGCAATGGGAGAAGCTGTATCTTTTGTAACAACGGTTAATAGTGATCACGACACTTCGGAAATCTATTTGAGACACGCATACAATGAATCAAGCGAAGATGAAGATGGAACAGAAAACAATTTTGAAAATGAAGATGAAAAGGAGAAAAATGAAGAGTCATTTAAAAATTTCTTAGAAAGACATAGAATAGAACAAGCTAAACGTAAGAATAATCAGGAATCCGAACCTAATACAAGTAAAAATTGATAATCACAATGTATTTTTATAATTTCCTCGTAAATAAATTATTTAACAAAAAAATATTGTTTTAATTTCCGTAAAATGTTTTAATTAAAAAAATTGCTTATCTTATTTCTTATTGTAAAACAAATATCTTTTAATTAAATTTTTTAATTAACTTAATTTCTAACACTGATAGATTTATATTGAGGCAGATTCTACTGTAACAATTATAATATGAAAAATTTTATTCCTTATAGATTGTTGACGCCCATGTTTATATAGTAAAAATAAAATTATATGATTCAAATTCAAGTTCTAACATTTATGTATGATGTTTTATATTTTTTAATTTTCAATAAATTCGACTATCTTCTCTTTTTTTTTGTTTTTAACTTTACATTTTTCAACTTTTTAGTATAATATTAAATTAATGCTATTTTTATATTCAATTTTAATTTCAGTGCTATTATTTTAATAATCTAATTGCATTTGAAGTCTCTATTAATCTAAGAGTAATTAAAAATTTAAACTGTGCGAACAATAAATAATGTGTTATAGAGATGGTACGCATTACACTTATCATGTTGTTTACAAATGTAAGTTAATTATTATATTTTCTTTTTAGTTGTTAGAATAATTTGCTAAAACTAGAATAATCTATGTTAAATTAATAGTTTACTTTACTTTTACTAAATCTTTATCTCAAATGCATATTACATCTTTTATACTTATTATTTTGCCATAAAATATAAATACTAATTGTTTTACAATTATGGCATATTAAAATACATTTATAATTCTAAGCAGGATCGTAAGGCTCGTAATATATTCTTGTAAAACTTGTAAGAATTTTTAAGTTTTTATATATTTTTATACAATATTTTTACAGACAGTATCTTACTAGCCATTAAATTATAATATCAATCATAAACAAGTTTTACGAGAATACATTATGAATCTTATCGATTCTGCTCAGAATTGACACATTAACTTGTGAGTATATATATATATATATATA